CCCCATGGTGTCCCTCCTGGGATCCTGTTTACCATGTTGCCCTGTTTTGTATCCTGCAGCCCAGGAAGGCACTCAACGAAGACTTGGTGTGCACACAATTAATACACCTGCCTCCTCCCAAGATGCCCCGACATCAGCCTGCTCATGCCTCTCCATTCAGTCCAGAGCCAGGGCCGCAGAACCAAAAGTGCTGACCTGCTTCCCCGTGAGGCAAACCACCCACGCCCCTTTGAGAAGGAAACCAAAATAGACAGCTAATTCCTTCCATACCAGGACTAAAAAAAAAACACAGGACCAAATCTGTCACCATAACCTGTCCTAAGCATGGCTGGTGTTCTTTCTTTTATTTTTAAAAGTTTTAATAAGCCACAAAATCCCAGGTAAGAGCAGAATAGCTGGGGATGCACTGACTGAAAGATAACTGAAAAAGAGAAACAGCAGATCTTGAGGGGCGAGAAGAGAACTTGCAGATCATAATTCTCACAGCTGCTTAGTGTTTTTTACATTTTTACTTTCTACGGCACCTTCACAATTTAGCATCTCACTGCACTATTTTGGGTGAATGGGCCATTTTTCTCCATAGCCAAGCCAACTGTTTAGTGCTCAGCCAGCAGGCAAGCCTGCCCAGAGCATGGACTGTGGCCTCCCTGCGCAGGGCTGTGAGCGAGGGGAAAAGGGGTTGGCTAGGCGGAAACACAGGGCACATTAGTTTTCAAAGGGTTCACACCTCATTTGTGGGGCCACAGCGAGCCCCAAGCTACACTCAGGGCAGGGCGTCATTCCCTACATCACTACCACACTAAGTTAGCTCCAGAAATGGAAGCGACACAAGAAGGCTTGAGGAGAGAAAGAAGCCTTTCGTCACAGAACAGGCCTCTGAGAGGTGGACAATGGCACTGCGGCTTTGGGGGGATGAACTAGGAAAGGTCTGAGATGTCAAAAGTGCAGGACCTGAAGCATCCTGCGTGTCCATCAAAGCTGGGAATGCCCCTTAGGGCTCAGACGAGCAGAAAAGAGGGCAGCATGTAACCCTGGATCCACAAAGGTCTCGTCCTAGGGTCTAGGGCCCAGACCCACCTGCCTGGACAGACCCAGACACAGCGCTGACCAACAGGTGAGCCCGATTTTAAGCATGACAGACTGCGCCACACGTCATGGTGAGGCTCCCTGAGCCCAAAGTTCTAGAACACCAGCATAAAGGGACACCCTGAGCCTTACTGCCAGACTTTCAATGGCCCCTTATTTCCCACTCCCTCCTACATGCACCCCCTCTTAGCTCCAAGAAGGTGTGACTATACCCCCTTTTAAACAAGTTACCTCCATTTCCCTCTGGACTCTACCTGGAAAGCATGTCTCCCACTCCTCTGCAGGTAATTCCTCAAGTTCGGGCTCACCTCCCAGCTCGCCCAGGAAGGCTGCATACTAGCTGGGTCTCACTCACTTCCCTCTCTGGAACACAGCAGTCCAATCAAACCTGTACTCCTTGGACGGGCCCCAAAGCCAGAGAGCGCCAAGTCAAATTCTGACCTGGTTACTACTGGTGTAACCTGAGGTGAGTCAGTTCTGCCTCAGCTCTGAGGTTCTGCCCTCTGCACCTTTCACCTACTTTGGTATCAGCACCTTGATTTTCCTAGAGGGCACCATTCCTCCAACTCAGTCCACAAGATTCAGGTAGGGAAATCCCACCCCTGCATCACCCCAGCAACCTAGGCACTGATCACTGTAACTGGTGCCTGGGTAGGCATGAGACCAAGCTAGGTCAATGGGAACGACCCCGGGGCACTCTTTCTCAGGCAGTGAGTGCTGTGTTGCAGGACCATGTAAACTTGGAGATGCTGAGAGACCTTAACACACAGAGCTACTGGATCCAGCTATGCCTGATGCCACCGACCCCAACTTAATAGTTACATGAGCCTATAAATTCCTAGTCTCACCCCCTTTTGGGTGTTGCTTTTCCAGATAGTTAGAGTTGCATTTTTGTCATCAGAACCGTAAGTCTGGCTATATAGAAACTGATCCCAGAAGCATGATGTCAGAGCGGACCATTCCTGAAGTAAAGGACTGGCTGAGTGGAGGTCAGGTACGGCAGTAAGGATTTTGCCATCTCCCAGCTAAGAAACTAGAATTCCAGATACACAGCAGCAACAGCGGTTAAAATGCAGCCTCTTTTGTCTTGAGGTGAGACCTTGGGCCATGGAGGCTGGAGCTTTAGGACATCTGGTGGAACATTCCAGGATATTAGCCTATGTTGGATACTTTTTTGGGCTCACAGTAAGGCCTACAAAAGGGGGCAAGCTTTACTCCTGGTAGCCTCCTGAATGACAGCTTTGCTAAGGATCCCTTTTTCCCTTTGGACAACAATTCAAGGTAGGTGAGGGTCAAGTCAGATGATCAGGGTTGGACATTCTCTGTTCCTGCTGCAGGCAGTGCCAGAGGAGGCAGAAAGGCCAGCCCCTATCAGGCGAGAGCCTGGGAAAGGCCTAATCCCCCAGGACCTCCCCAGCCCCCCTGCTGTGGTTCTCACATGCTGCTAGACAACCAGACGCAGCTTGGGGGCAAGGGGCCTGTGTGGATTCAATGAGGGCATACCTGGCACAGAATGAGGGCTTAGGAACTGTTGTTATCCTGGGGGCACTATGGCCTCCTGCTGCCACTATCCTTTCTATGGACTGAATGTTTGTGTCTCCCCCAAAATTCATAATCATAGCCCTAACCCCCAATGAATTGCTATTTGGAGATGGTGCCTTTGGGAGGTGATGAGGATTAGATGAGGTCATGAGGGTGGGGACCTCATGATGGGATTTGTGGCTTTATTAGAAGAGGGAGAGAGAGGGATCTCTTCATGCACACACTTGGAGGAAAGGCCATGTGAGAACACAGTGAGTAGGTGGCCATCTGCAACCGAAGGAGACAGCCCTCATCAGACACTGACCCTGCTGGTACCTGGATCTTGAACTTCCCAGCCTCCAGAACTATGAGAAATAAATTCCTATTGTTTAAGCCACACTGCCTATGGTTTTGGCAGCCCAAATTGAATAAAAACCCCTTGCTCATAAATGGAGTTAGGACCAATGACCAGCCATCCCCGTCTCCTAATCTCTGCATGGGGAGATCCACTGGGTCCCCCCAAACCTAGGAAAATCAACATCATGCATATTCTGGAGGCCACGTGCATGGTCTCGAGCACACGCAGGGTCAGATGAACCTCAGCATGCCAAGCAGCAGGCACAGTCACTGCAACAGGACAGGGAGGACAAGCAGAGAGGAGGCAGGCAAGTGGGAGGCCACGTGCAGTCAGTGAGGGACAGGGAGCTGGCACAGCCCACGACCGAGCAGCCCACGCCGCGGTGCCCGGCTCCTTACCTCCCCTGCAGGACCTCTGACCACCAAGAAGCTGGAGGCGTGCTGGAAAGAGTAGAGAGCAGGAGACAGGGAGCAGTAGGCACCGAGCCAGTTCTACAGGAAAAAAAGTGCTGGAAAGGACCCCCAAGGAAAGGTGTTAGATTTGGGAAGTCTGTGGCAGAGGTGGTTTCCAAGAGGCCCGAAGGACCCAAATGCCAAATGAAGATCACCCCCAAGACCGGCCTGTGCCAGGGGCCCAGAGAAGGGGGCAAGAGAACAAAGGGAGAAGAGCCCACAGGCTGGACCACCCCAGATGGGCACTTGCCCTCCTGCAGGCTGGTGCTCGGTCTGTCCAGGGTGACATTCTCGGCAGATTTCCTGGGATGGCGTGAACAGTCTCTCAATGGGGAAAGGGATCCAGGGCCCCAGCAGTGGACAGCCATTAAGAAGCCCCACCAGCCAGGGACAAGGAGGCTGTGGCCTGCACAGATGTCACCATCGATTCCCCAGGATCCAAAGGAGACAGGAATGGGGGTGAGGGACTCTTATTCCAAGGCCAATGTCAGAGAGTGGAGGTTCCTGTCCTGGCTCCACCTCAAATCTCCAGGTAACTTTGTACAACGTACGTATCCTCTCTGGGCCTCAGTTTTCTCATATATATAAACTGGAGAAAGTCCCTCTATATGATGGAAAGAAGGTGACAAATAGTCTACCAATGCCAGACACCAAATCCCCATAGGGCCACACACGTTGCTACAGTTTCCTCTGGGGGTTGGTTTGTGCTGAAATAGGGAGGTGATCAAATATTCAAGATTCCTGGGCAGAAGGGCTCCAGGAACCTCACTGCCACCCAGGGCCACGCCTCAGGCTCTACGATCCCAGCACTTTTGGATGGAGGGAAGAAGGAGCCTGAAGCACAAAGTTTGGGGCAGAGCTTTTACTAACAGGAAACACCTTCAGGGTCCAGGTCAATGGCACTATTACCAATTGGGCCATCCACAGCCCCTATATCATGAAATTCCCACATCACTGACGCTGTGTGCCTGGGTCTCCACCAGAGACCCCTCACCCCGGGACCTGGTTCTGACCTACCCATCACTGGATCCTGGCACCGCCTCCCTGGGCCACTCGCAGTCGGTACCCAACAAATACCTGAGAAGTGACAGACTGCTCTAGACCTCAAACACCCAATTTGCAGTCACTGTCAGCCACAGCACCCACCTGCCAAAGGGATGGTACATTTTCTAAGCCTTTCTCAACCTGGTTACGCAACTGATTCCTCTTGGTCATGGTAACCCTTAGAGGGCAGGCATTACAACCCTGTCTTAGAAATGAGTCAACTGCAGCTAAGAGAGGTGAAGAGGTAATTTTCGCAGAGGCACACAGTGGGTGGCCAGTTGTCAACAGAGCCAGGGTGAGAACCTGAGTCTTCTGACACCCAGCCTGGTGCCCGCCATCAGCCAGCATGCCCGCTTACCACTGGTGTCCACCTGGCTGGTCAGCGCCTGGGGTGACATATCTTGGATACTGGCCCAGCAGGCTCACCCTCAACCCAGCATCTGCTGCCCTACAACTGCCGCCTGCTCCCAGCACAGGGAAGCCTGAGTGTAATGAGCTGGGCATGGGAGTGGGGAGCCCCAGCCAGTGCCCACACCTACCTTTGATGACAAGGGCCTCTGCCAGCAGCCGCATCTGATAAAGGGGCTTGTTCTCCACAGACATGTCATCGATCCCGGCCCGCGCATACATGCTGATGGCATCCCGGTAGGAGCCCTCCACGTAATGCAGCTTGCCCAGGATCAGCATGGCCTCGCACATGTACTGTGGCTGAAAGGACAAGGACCACATCAGCAGGCTCCTGCCCCAAAGTCCCTGCCCCACCCCCACCAGATAGAAGGAACACCCTCTCACTGAGCCATGATAATTTGCTTAAGACCCTGCTCAGAAACCTCCTCCTGCAAAAGCCTTCCCTGGACTTTGAGCACATGCTGGGAGGCGGGGGCTCTCTTCTCTCCATACCTGCAGTCCGTGGCCTACTTATTGAAATTCTTACATTCTTACTAAAATTCTTATAGGAGTCACTGTTTCACCTGTGTGTCTTATGCACCCAGCTACACTGCAGGCAACCTGCAGACTGGGCCCCATCTTCTCTCCTGTAGTCCCTGGAAGCTTCAGCCCAAGGTTGGCGCTCAGGAGTTCAGGCACTTGTTCTCAATGCAAGTGAGGAGTCAGGGACCCAGCCCAGTTTTGTGGGGCCCAATATAACTTGGGGGTGCATAAACACACACAAATATACAATTAGGTAAAAGGCCTTGGAAAGAGCCCATGCAGGTGACAGGCCTCAAGCTGAAGACCCCATGCAGCAGGACCTTTGTGGGCCAGAAGAGAGGAGGAGAGCAGAGGCCTGCTGGGCTACTGTCCCATCTTATCAGAAGTAGGTAATAAAAGTCACAATCAAGTGTCTGAATTCAAACCTGTTCTCTCTGCCCTACTTTTTCAAGTGCTGCTTATGCCTAAATCTCCACCCCATACAAGGACTCTCAGGCCTCGAGGAGGTCTGGTTGGCCCTGCCTGAGAGTTATGGCCTTGGACGTGGGCCCAGCCTGGTTTCAAGATCTCCCACCTTTTGGGACTACTTGCTCTAGTCTGCTGTCTCCATTTCTGTGCTCAGCAGGCCCACCACCCCTTATGCTAGGCACTGTCCCCACCACACAGCATTGATTCTGTCCACAGAGCTCTCTGGAGATGAAGCACTGGTCCCCATCCCAGACTGTCATCACAAGAAGGTGCTGCCCCTGACTCCCTGTGGGGAGATCAGACTCTGGGGTACATGTGACAGACCCCAGGGGAAGCCTCCACCACTCCCCACCATCTCCTGTCCTCTCAGAAGCCAGCTAAGAGAAATGGAGCATGGCACAGCTAAATTCTCCTTCCTCGCTGGTCTTCTTGGTTTTTGTAAATACCCATTCTACCTTTGCTTTTGCTCACACAGGCCCCTATCTGGAACAGTCTCCCCTTTCCCTCAAGATATCCAGATCTTCTTCCATCCTTTGGGGCCTTGCTCAAGCCCACCTCCTCCTAGAAGCCTCCCTGACTACCAGGGAGCTCCCTTCTGCTGAATTCCTGCAATGCTTCTACCAATGGACCTATCAGCTCCTGCAAGCCTAACCTGCTGATGACTGATTAACTCTCGAAGGCTGAATTTTTCAAGGGCATTTGCTAGTCTCCCCAGTAGGCTACCCACTCCCTGGGCCGGGGCCATAGATTTCATATCCCCAGGGGCATGCAGTCCACGGTCCCTCCAAGATGGGCAACATCTCTGCTATTCTTTCCACTCGTCTCAAGCCACGGGCACATTTCCTCCCTGCTCGGCCTTGTTTTCCCATTGTGAGGGCGAGATCCTAACACCCATCCCTCACCTCCCATCACAGCAATGCCAAGAGCATTAATAGGGCAAAGTCCAGAAAAGAAGTTTTAACTTTTCTTTAGAAAGAAGCAGGATAAACACAGAACATGAATAATTACTATTCTGTTCTACCGTAAAGGGGATAAAGGGCAGCTAAGCTCAGAAGGACAAGTTTCAGGGTGTGATAATAGGGCAGAGCTCAGTGGTTCCTGGTGGACCAATGACAGTTTACAAGAACTTCCACCTAGCTGGGGACAAATTAAGGACAATGTGGTGAATGTTTCATAAAGCTGAATTTATACTATTTAAAAAGCTGCTCTTAACTCTGAAAGCATATGTGTCTTGCTTTTTGGTGTTAAGATGCACTTTCTTTTATGGAGTGATGGTAATAGAAAGTGGTACAGTTTTGCTGCTATTTTTTTAATGTCCATATTTGGCAGATTTTAAAGTTGGCTACACTCCGTGGGACCCGTGCATTTGAATCTGAAATGTTCTTGGCCTGTCGATATCCAATAGTCAGGGAACCAGAGAGCCCTGGCCCAGTGAAAGGACGTTATGCAGGAAGTCACTCGTCTGAGGAATAGTCCCTCTGCTGTGGAGCAGACCTGTCACCTAGTCTTTGTGCCTCGATGTCTCTGTCAATAAAAAGCGAAGAATGACGACATGTGAATACCCAGGTAAGAGGAGAGAACGGATGAGGAAATACTTCACAGAGGCAAAATAGGCCTGTAAAAGCCAGTGTCACCATCATCACCGACATTAATCCGAGTCTCTCGGTCATTGTTTTATCTCTACTCAAGGACTTAGGGACACAGCACTGAGAAGGAACAGAGAACATGAGAACCTGGGATATGGAGACAAATAGGCCTGTGTTCAAGTCTTGGACCTACCACTGTGATCCTTGGCCAAGTGACTAACCTCTCCTGGGTCTCAGTTTCTTCTCCTGGTAAATGGGGATACTACGAGATCCATTGAGAGGGTTACTATGAGGCACTCATGAAATGGTGCAATGCCAGGTGCTCAGTGCATAACAAGTTATGACAAAGGTTCATTTTCACCCACCTCCACAAGACTGAGCTGGGCAGAATCTTAGAGGTCACTGAGAGTAGATTTCAAACTACCCTAAGGAGGTGCCTCAGGACCCACCTCTCTCCTCTCTTTGTCCCATCACAGTTACTCAGGACACATGGGAATCCAACTGGGATTTCCTCTGCTGCCAAGAAAAATCACCCCCTCCCCAACCACACCCCAGCCTTTGGGGTAAAACAAGAGAATCCCATAAACTACTTTTAATATTTTATTTTGCCGGATCAATGTTAAGTTTTGGGCTTTGGCCTGGATAACAGGGAATTTCTCAATGTTATTGGTGCCCGTGTATGCCTTTGATGAATAAAGCATGGTAAAATTTGCATTTAATAAATGTGATGTGGTAGAAAAAACGGTTTTCACAATACATGTGTATACTATTTGGCCAATACAAAGAAAGGGGCATCGGCATGGAGAAAGCTCCAAGTGAAAGTTCTCAGTGCAAAAGAGCAACTTGTCAAATATGTATCCTATGATTCTAATAAGAAAAGAAAGCTTTATAAGCATGTGTGAGTGTTTGTTAACACAGAGAAAGGCGTGTGGGACACATGCCCAATGGTGACTAGTGCTCAACTCTGGGGATGGGAATGGGCGTGGCAAACAAGGACTTTTATTTATTACTCAAACTACTTTTTTATGTAGTAAATTTTTTACAATAAGCCAAAGTCATCTTTATTTTAAAAACAATTTTTAAATATTTGATGAAGTTTACTAAAAAGAAAAAAATTAAAAGGGTTCTTAGTGGGAAAAGCTTAGGACCCACCAATCAAGTCCAACTCTTTTGACTGGCAGATGGGGAACTGGAGGGCCCAAGAGGTCGGGGAACATCCTCAGGGTCAAGCAGCTATTTTAAATCCAATTCAAAATCTCCCAGAGCTATAATAATCCCATCACAGCAATGAGCCTAAAGGCAGTAACCTTAAACTTCCAGTACACTCTCCCTGCACTGCTTAAGGAAAAAGCCGATGCTTCTCGGTGTGGCATTCTAGTCCCCATTCTCTGGCCCCAGTGTACTTATATAACCTAATTACCCACCATTCCCTTTTACTCTTATGAAATGACATAATGTAATGAAATTCTTGTAAGAAGAACCCTTAGATTACACACTGCTTCCTTAGCTTGGAATGCTCTGTCCTATCTCTGTATGTCTATCTCCCTCCCCCTTCAAGGTCCAGCCCTTCCCCCAGGGTCCAATTCTAGTACTACCATCCCCCAGATGACTCCTACCTCATCCCAAGGAGCGTTCCCCTCAGACTTGCCTCTGCATGTGCCTATGACATGTGTCAGAGTCCACACTGGACAATGTGTTGATAGGACTTATCTTCCCAGTAGATCTGCAACTTCCCAGAGGACAGAGTCCATGCTGAACCCATCTTTATTGCCCTCAAATTACATAACACAATGCCTTGCACACAGTAGGTTGCAATCAAATGTTTAGGTCAATAAATATATTACTTTAAAACATGTCTTGAAAAATTATATCTTCTTTGGGTCTCTAATAACATACCAATACCTCCACTATAGCTTGGCATACACTGTAATCTAGAACAGTCTCAAACTCTAATGTGCAATAAATCACCCAGAGAGCATGTTAATTACAGATTCTAATTCAGATTTTGCATTCCTAACCAGCTTCCATATCATGCCCAATCTACAGGTGGGTGGACCATGCTTTGAGTAGTAAAGATCTAGAGAAAGCTGTGACTATATTTCCCTCTATACCTGCCCTTAGTGCCTTGTATACAGTAGGTGCTCAATAAGTGCACTTGGACTTAAACTGGCTTGCCCTGTTATTGAGCTCTTCCATCACTAGCCAGTTCTATATGTTTGCCTGTTTCCAACTAGATCTTAGTCTCACTAAAGTTTTATTTCTCAAGACTGCCAAAGAGCACACAGAACTGGGCACATGCCAGTCTAATGAAATCTAATAGAAATATCACCTGAGCCATATGTGTAATTTAAATTTTCTAGTCACATTAAAAAAGGTAAAATTAATTTTAATAATTTTATTTAACCCAATTTATCCTATCATCTGAACATGTAATCAATGTAAAGAATTAATGATCTTTGACATTCTTTGTTTTGTACTAAGTCTTCCAAAACCAGTATATGTTTTACACTTATAGCACATCTCAATTTGGATTAGCCTCATTTCAAGCGCACATGTGGCTAGTGGCAACTGTACTGAATAGCACAAGGCCAACCCTAGGAGACACATGCTGCTCAGCTGACCAAATGACTCAGGGAGGTTGAGAGCAGACAGGAGGCAGGAAGAAAGGGGACCCCAGGCTTGAGGGGCTGACAACTTACTGACAGCTTCCCATGGTTGAGGATACTACTCAGATAGTTTCTGGCTTCATTCATCTTCGGCTCATTCTTCTCCAGCAAAGGGATGGAGTCTTTTATCTGGGCACTGTTCTCTTTCAAACACTGCTCCAGGAGGGCCTCGGCCAGGAGCAATTTTCCAAAGTCATCTGCAAAACAGGGCAGTGATCCCCTGAATGTGGCAAATGTGTAGACTGGGACAAGTCCCTGTTCCAACCCAACAGCCCCATCCCAGCACATAAATGTCCCAGGTCTGAGAAAAATCAATAAAGACACTGTTTCCATAAACTTAAACAGCCTTTAAACAACAACAACAAAAACAGACATTCTACCATTGTACCAGCATAAATCGCCCCTTTGGGTTTATTTTCTGTAGTTTAGTGGTTGGGGAGGCAGAGTTTCCAGGAGTTGGGACAAATTGCCAGAATTTCAGAATTAAAATGACAAAGTCACACTCATGACCCATTGTGGGTAATAAGTTCTTAAACCAAGAAGGAATTTCTCCAAACAATCAGAGAAGAAAATGATATGAAGCAGTTTAATAATGCATTTTCATGTGCTCCTAATTTAATTTCCATGTAACCACATTTGGCTTTTTCCATTTTAAAGGTATTTTATTTAACATGACCCAAGGAGAACCTAGCAACCAAGTGGAGAGCTGAGGTGGGAAGCAGATTTACTTGCGCAGCAAGGCAAATCCCTGAACAGGTTTAGTACTGGCACTGCCTGGAGTTCTCTCACATGGTAGCTTATCTGCAGACCTCACCACCTGGCAGGTGAGTTTATCTTGCTTTGTTTAATTTGCTGCCTCCCCCACCACACTGAAAACTCCAATTCTGTGACCACCATATTCCAGCTACCTACAGCAAAAGTGACTCAGGTGGGGGTGGGATTCAGGTGTTCAGTGTGCAGGGCCATAGGTCAAGTGTGCTTTCATGATGGCCTCGGGTGGCTGTGCTTGATGTGACTGGCTCATTGCCCTTCCCCTTCAACCAGGGTGAGGACCAGGCCCACCACTCAATATAGGTGCCAGTAAATAGCCGCCAAGTGAATTGGATCCTCTCCACTACCCCAGGAGGAAGCCATGAGGCTCAGGGAGTGATGTGCCAATCCACAACGTCTCTAGGAATGTGTGCCTGGTCCCGTCTCCTCACAGAGCTCCTTCTCCTGCCACAAAGGTGCTGTCAGACCTACCCAGGGATGCCACTAAATCCTCACTCTCAGGACCACTGCAGTTTGCTCACAACTCAAAGCCACCGGTCCCAAATTGCATGCCTCTGAAGAAGACTCTCCATCCATAAGGAAGATTCCATGCAGAGAGCATCCTAAAAGCCCAGATCCCAGAGGACGGTCACAGATTTTTCCTCTGAGGATGCCACAGCCTTTTAGTGGGCCCTTTGCTATACCTACCTCATGATTTCTAAAATTAACATTTGTAGGAAATGGTCTGACAAGTACCTAATTCAAACTATCATCCATCACTGGTAGAATAGAAGTTGGTAGGACCTCTATAAAGGGCAATTTAGCACATATATCAAAATTATTTTTGTACTTTCCCACTGACTCAGCAATTTTGCTCCTACAGATGTCCTTATAAAGTCATTACTGTAGCATTACCTGTAATAGCAGAAAATTAGAGACAACCTGTATGCCCATCAACAGGAGGCTGATTAAAGAATGGTATATCCATAAAAAGGGACACCACGCTGCTATAAAAAGGAATAAAAAAGCTCAGTATGTGCTAAACTACCTTCAAATTAAATTAATGGGCCACTGTGTGTTTATGCAAGCATAAAAATATGTGAAAGGATACACAACCATCTGATAACCTTGCTGGTTTACGGGGAAAGAGAGGGAGGCTTTTCACTCTTCACAGTGGGTACTTTTGGAGGGTTGGCCCATGTGGATATATTACCTAGTCACAAATAAAAGTTTAAATCAACCCCAGAATGAAAGGCACCTTTCTTCATTTCCAAATCTCAGCCAGGAGGGGTGGGATGCTTAGCAGTGGGTGTCTGAGCAGCAGTCCTGAGATGGGGGCCTCTAGGCAAACTGTTCTCCTCCTCACTGGTTTTTCCTCCGTAAAACCAGGGGTGGGGTTAGGGACCTGCTCTTTGCAGGAAACAGGCCCTCCCCAAGCTCCTCCCCTGAGGCTGGTGCCAGCCCTCCTGCGAGTGCTCAAGGCCCTGCTCAGCACAGCTAACTCCCCACCCAGTTCGCAGCAGCAGAGCCATCTGGCCACCTGGCCCTGCCTCTGCCACCCAACTGCCGGGCCCAGAGCTCTGCGTGGTTCATTGGCTCTTTCTTTCGGGGCCTGGAGAAACCAGCTTCCTTCTAGGCAACCCTCAATCTTGAAAAACTCCCCAGGGCACGCACTGCTCCTCAAAATAATGGGAGTGTCCTCTGAACACTTGCTGCTCAAAGTGTGTGGTTCGTGGACTGGAACAGGTAGGTCTGTGTTTATGACCCAATCCCTGGAGGTAAATGCAGAAATTTAGAATACACGTTTACAAAGGTTGATGATAACATGACAGAATGTATTTGAATCTGTTGAATCAAATAATACAAAATTGGGGGGTAAAAGTCTGTGTATCTTTTGAAAGTATCAGAGCACATCAGATTGGGAATTTAAAAACATAAAACTGATCCTTCACAGATCGTTTGAGAAGCACTGCTCTAAACCACAAGAGAACCTTTAAAAAATTTTAAATGTTCTATTGTTGACACTATTGCAGATGTTCCCTATTCCCCGGCTTTGCCCACCTCCACCCAGCCCCCGGCCCCCCTTCCTTGGCCCTCTCCACACTACTGTGTTCATGGACTATGCATATATATTCTTTAGCTAAACCCTTCATCTTATAATGAGAAAGGGAGACTAATATTTGTTGAGGGCCTACTGATTGCCAGGTACTTTATTACATAATATCATTTAATCAGCACAGCCCTAAAAGGTAGATATTGTTCCCATTTTATAGATTATAATAAAAATATGCAATATTGCACGGCTGGGCATGGCTCAGCGGTTGAGCATCGACCTAGGATCCAAGAAATCACGGTTCGATTCCTGGTCAGGGCACATGCCAAGGTTGCAGCTCGATTCCCAGTTGGGGGCATGCAGGAGGCACCTGATCAGTGACTCTCTCATCATTGATGTTTCTATCTCTCCCCTTCTCCCTTCCTCTCTCTGAAATCAATAAAAGGTATATTTATATATGCACAACCCAAGGACACGGACAATGGTGGGGAGGGGGACTGGGGAGGGGGATGGGATGGGGTGGAATGGGTCATTGGGGAGAAAAAGGGACATTTGTAATATTTTAAACAACAAAAAAGGTATACTTAAATATATATATATATATATATATATATGCAATATTGTTATGGTCACAGCCTATAACAAGACACAGCAGATGAATAGTCTGTCTCCCTTGCATCCCATGCAGAGCAAAGCTTCGCGTACTTTAGAAATAAAAAACAGTCTGAGAGCTGTAAACAGCTGGTGAAAAGCTAACAGTGCCCTGGCTGGTGTGGCTCAGTTGGTTAAGCATCATCCTGCGCATGGAAACACCGCTGGTTTGATCCCCAGTCAGGGTACCTGCCGGAAGCAGCCAATCAACGTTTCTCTCTCCCCCTCTCCTTCTCCCTTCCCTCCTCTAAAATCAACAAAATAATATATTTTTTTAAAAAGCTAACAGTAATTCCAAGGACAGGGATAAGAGTTGTTCTCACTGTCATACGTGAAAGATTTTGCGATGATTTTGTAAACTAACACCCCAGGTCCTTCTCCAGAGCCATGCTGCCCCTCCGCATCCCCCACTCAGGCTCCGTCTCCTGCAGCAGACACTCAGTCGGTGTCGGGAATGTACTTTCTTTTCTTCCTTGCTCAGCACTTCTCCCTGCACCATTCTTTCTCTTCCTTTCCCCGTTTCTTTCCATCCTATTATTCTCAACTGGCCAGTCTATGGAACTGAAGAATATTTTACAATTAAAAGTTCTAGATTTTCACGCCCTAGCCGGTTTGGCTCAGTGGTTACAAGGCCGGACAGTGGACTGAAGGGTCCCAGGTTCGATTCCAGCCAAGGGCACATACCTTGGCTGCAGGCTCGATCCCCGAACCCTGTCGGGGAGTGTGTGGGAGGCAACCAGTCAATGTGTCTCTCTCACATCGATCTTTTGTTTCTTTTTCTTTTTTTTCCTCTCTCTCTCTCTCCTCCCTCTCTCCCTGTCCCCCTTCCACTCTCTCTGAAAAAGCAATGGGAAAAAAATCCTTGGGTGATGATTGAAAAAAAAAAGTTCTAAAATTTTCAGTTGTTAAATAAGAATCTAGGTGGATAGAGGCTTTCCTGTCCTTCTCTAAAGATGAATCAATTGCTTTTTATCATCATGTCCAAAATCAACTCCCTACCCGGTTTGGGTAAAGTGTTCCAGCTCTCCCCTCCCAGGGCCATTAGGAGGGCCTTCTTGACAGAGTGAGGCAGACTCTGGGAGCCTGGATGCTGATCCTGGCAGCCCATCCTAATCCCCTGCCCTTGACAGAGACCCAAATTAGGCCACCACTTAGTGGCCACCCAGTCTGCCCCCCCACCTTGTTTGGAAGGCCTCTGGCAGCTAGCTTTCTCTGTGCTCCCACCCCTCTCCAGGACTCTCTCAGGGTACCAGGTCACAGAGACCCATTTCAAGGACACCTGCCTCCTCCCCGCACCCCCACTTGTAGGACGGTGTTCCCCTCTCCACAACCTGCCAATTCGCTATCCGGAAACCTGCAAGCCTGGAGTTCAGACCAGGCCCTTCCTCCTAGGTCACATGGGGACACAGCAGTCCCCGCTGCTGCTCACCTCTCAGGACTGCAAAGGATTGGGACCTTCCAACCATGGAGAGAGAAGAGGCCGAAACTAGTGAGAGGCCACCTGCCTCAAACATCCCCTAAGAAATACTCTTTAACCACTTGGATGGGCTTTTTGTTTTTACGTGAACAAACCCCACCACAGACAGCCTTACTCTGGGGTTCCCCTGCTCCATCCTGACCAAAGCTAAACCGGATGTGAGTTTGAAAGTAAATGTACAAAAAGCAGCAACCACCTTCCCTCTGGGTGGGTGGCAGGGAGAGCCTCCCCAGACAGGAAAAGGGGTAGGGCCCCTTGTGAGGGAGGATCTCCTGGTCCTTCACTCCCACCAGACCAGAAAAAGGCACTCCCAGATGGCACCTCTCCTACCCCCTGCAGTGAAATCCATGCTCTGGGATTTTTAGTTTCTGAAGGAGATCCCACAGGTACAGCACAGCCTCGGGGTGTCAGTCTGTAAAATGGGTTTCAATTGGGGTTTAGCTCTCCCCTCAGTATCTTCCTCCTCTCCCAAATTATACAACTGTTAAAGCTTCCAGTCACTAACTGTAAGAGTCTAATAGGTCAGGTGGGACTTTAAGGATCTCCCTCCTGGCCCAGCTGGCATAGCTCAGTGGTTGAGCGTCAACCCATGAACCAGGAGGTCACCAGTTCGGTTCCCCACCAGTTCAGTTCCCAGTCAGGGCACATGCCCCGGTTTTGGGCTTGATCCCAGTAGGGGGCATGCGGGAGACAGATGATCAATGACTCT